TTCGCTTTTCACTGGATATTTTCTTGTCGTTTAGCTTCCTTTCCTTCTGTGGACCACACACCCTTACAACACGAGGAAAGGTGATAGGCTGAGGGTGTTATTCATTCACTCAGTGTTCACTGAACTTGTCTAGTATGCCCGAAGGCCCAGTTCAATCTCCGGCGTCACATACATTAGGTGTCTGTGGTTCATGCCTATAATCTTAAAGCAGGAGGATTAAAAGTTCGAGTTTGCTGGGCTAGGTGGCACAAGCCTTTAATTCCAGCAGGTAGGCAGATAACTGTGAGTTCAAGGCCAGCCTGGTCTCTACTCCAAGTCTCCAGACAGCCAAGTCACCTTTGCCTATATGGAATATTACTTCAAATTAAAAAAAAAAAAGTCTATTTTTAGATAGCTTTAGGCTTATAGCGAAATTGAGTGGAACATACAGCCTTCCTGTATTCTGATTCCACATATCCATTTTCCCCACTAGCAACACCCCACAGCAGAGTGATGTACATATTGTCACTCATTGGTACCTGCAGTCAGTCTATGGCTGGCATGAGGGTTTAGGCTAAGACATCCTGTGCAGTCTTGCCTCTGGCCCTCAGTCTTTTGGGATGCCCCTTTTTGCAAGTAGGAAAACAGAGGCCCAGGATTAGACTCTCTCTTTCCTTATCCTTTGATCTCTGGCACTCCTCTATGTGGGGGAAAGCAAGACCCAAAGAGGAGACATTTTCCCAAAATCACACTGCAACTTCCTGGGAGGGCGACTTTAGTGAACTGTCCACTTCCATTCATGGTCTCTTTTCAGCCTGCTATCCGTGAAGGTCGGAGGCAGTGCGTGATGGGCCTCACAGGTGTGCTGAGCCCCTTCTGGGGATGGAGTATGGCATCCATCCCTAGAATGAACCCTTTTGACTCAGTTTCCCTCCTCTGTCCAGATTCCCTGTTTCCTCCGGAAGAAAAGCAACAACCCTCCCCTTATGGAGACCTTGTCAAAGCTGCTCGGAGCCCCCGTGGAGACATGGAAGTCCCTGTCAATTGTAGCTCCTGCCGAGGGTCCCCATTGGCGTCACCTGCAAGGCCCATGTTCCAGCTCCTGCAGCTTATTTTAAGAACAAACCTGTCCAATGTACTGACTGCAACCCCAGGCCTGCCGGCAGCTCAGACCTCATCCTCATCCCTGTTGGAGCCGGAGGGCCCATTTCTTGGGGCTCCTGGAGCCTCCCAGCCTCTTGAGCCCTCAGTGGAGTCTTCTGTCTCTCCTGGACCCTCCACTCTACCTCCAACCATTCCAGGGACCTCTTGGTCACCTGTCACCCCAGAGAGCTCTTCTTCAACCTTTGGGGCTCCGGTAGTGTTCCAGTGGCCCCTGTCTGCCACCCACTTGACTGAGGCGAAAGCACCTTCAACAACTAATCCTGATCTCTCAGAGACCCTCACCACCCCCTCAAGGCCTCAAAGACTCTCTCCAGCTCTCCAGGACGCTTCCAACCCTGTTCCCCAAGAGCCCACAACAGACACCTCAGAGAAGGAAGAACCTACTACCTGAGGGGATACCATGCAGGGGACATGCCAGACAGAGCTCTCTGCCAATGGCCTTGTGTGTCTGACCCCCTGGGGAAACCCAGTCAGGTGCAGAGAAGATCGTAGAGTGTGATGGTCTATCCATAAGTCAAGGAGAGAAGCAGCAGAGGAAATAGCCCAAACACCCCCTGACTTTAAAGTTTTAGCCTCCAGAATTGTGAGAACGTAAATTTCTGTTTAGCCCCACCCTGTCTGTGGTAATGGTTCCAGTGGCCCTGGTACATGAAGTCAGCAGCCATGCCTAGTGAGTTCCTGTCCCTGCACACTCTGGACACTGACGTCACACAACAACATCTCTGTCATTATGCTTTGTTTTCAACGCTGATTTTATGTTTTGTTCATTCCAAGACATGTTCAGAACATACATTATGTCCCCATCTTTAATTTAAACACTAGGCTGCTAACTCTCTTTCATTCCAAGCTCACAGTCCAGGGCAGGGGACAGTTGCTCAGAAGGTAAATGCCCTTTAGAACGTGAAATGGGGACATCAGGGGACAGTGAGGGCGGGGGCAGGATAGGTGAGGGAGGGCTGGAGCTTTCTCCCTTCTGTTTTCCGTGTGGCCCACACTCAGCGCTTTCACAGCACAAAATGACTTCCGGTTTCTAATTCTCTGCTTTTAGAATCTGGATAGGAGTGTGTGTGTGTGGTGGGGTGGCTTCCAATTTTTCCTGTTGTGTTTGTAGGTGCCCTGGGAAAAAATTAACGTCAACAAATAAATTATAGCTAATAAATAAGTAAATAAATACATTTGCCACCGTGGGATTGATAGGTTTAAAGGCAGGGAGATTGCAGGACAGTGGCTTTTCTTGCTGAGTAACCACGGACATTGAAGGGATGATTAAGACCAGAGGGTGGAGCCTGCACCAATGTTTGTGTGTAGTACCTACGATGGCCAGCAGGTGTCAGCACTCAGCGATCCACACCGGTGGCTGGTCCAGAAAGAACTCAGCAAAGGTAAGGTCTCCAGATCTTTATCTTTATAAAGTAATGTAAATTAGGGTTTGGTGGCTCACATCTGTAATCACAGATCTCTGAAAGCTGAGTTTGGATGATTAGTAGTTCAAGGCCAGACTGGGCTACATGAAATCCTGTCTGGAAAACAAAACAAAACAAAACCAAGGCTGAGTTATAGTGGCACAAAGCTATTAAAGCCAGCCCTTGAAAGGCAAAAGCAGGCACATCTCTATGAGTTCTAGGCCAGCCTGGTCTACATAGTGAGTTCCAGAAGAAGCCAGGGTTATGTATGTAGGGAGTCCCTAACTAA